TCCCTATGCCCCGATGTGCGGTATAGTCAGGGGACAGGTCCTCAGAGGGCCCACTGTGCTGGGGTGAGGGTGGGGGCTGCTGACTGAGCAAAGGGCCTGGTGGCCTCGCCTGGCTGGACAATGGGGCAGAAGCTGCTGATGTGTGTTTTGGGGGTAATCCCCGGCCTCATAGCAGCTCCATCCTTGGGCCTGGGCTCAGAGAGCTGTGAACATCCGAGGCAGCAGCCGGGTGGGTGCGAGGGGCATGTGGGGGTACTTGTGCTTCCTATGCCGCCCCCCAGGGCCTGGTGAGTCAGGGCAGGCCAGGGGCCAGGGGCCGGGGGCCAGGGGCTGGGGGCCGGGGCCGGGGTATCCAGGTGAGGCCTTGGTTTGGGAGTTGGTCAGGTCTGGGTTCGAATTCTAGTGCTACCAACAACCCGCTGTGGGTGGCCATGGGTGTCCCCTCAGAGCCTGTTTGTCTGTCATACGAGGGGACAGGAGAGTGTTGCAGCATCTTTGGGTCCAGCAGAAATGGAGCTGGACCCCAGACCCACCACTCCTGGCTGGATAGCTAAACAGTGGGTATCTTACCCACCGTGCACCCTTGATTCCAGGAGCAGAGCTTTGGATGCCCAGCGCAGTATTTAGCACAAGACAGGTGTCCCCCCCAAATGGCAACTCCATTGGGCAGAGCGGCGGGACTCCCCTGTGCCTGGTCTCACTCAGGCCAAACCCCCCTGATAAGGTTAGCTGGCCCCCTGATTTGTAAGGATAAGAATGCAAAATATAAGTAGCATTCATTCTACGCCAGGTTCTTTAAAAGGATTTTAGCCTCTTTTAACTCATCTCATCTTTACAACAAACCCCTGAGGGTGAGCACTTTTACTCTGTCTTAGAAACCAAGGCCTGGAGAGACCCTGGGGCTTGCGGAAGGTCCCGGAGCCAGGCTGCGGCTGTGCTGGGAGAGGGAGTGGAAGTTTATTTTAGAGGCCCCGGGAACCGTGGGGCCGCGCTTGTTTCTGAAAGCCAGGAACTCGTGCTGGTGGGGTGCTCAGTCTCCAAGGGGTGGTAGCTGGCAATCCCAAGAGCAGGGGCTCCCGGTGGCAGTCTCCCCAGGCCAGGGAGCACCGCTGCCTGTGGCTCCCCACCCCCAGGCAAGTGAATGCAGCTGGGAAGGGGGGGATGTTTGTTTCCCTACTCCCACCCCTGGTGATGTCATGCCTGGGCAGCCAATGGCAGGGGTCACCCCTTCTCCCCTCCCCATTCCTTTTCCCCCCCAGCCTGGGGCTGGGGCTGAGCAGACGAAGTTGAGGTCGGGAGCTGCTCTGGAGGTGTCTGGAGGCCCAGTGGTAAGAGATCAGCCGGCCAGTTCCCTTCCTGGCCAGGCTGCGAAGCCTCGGGAAGGGGACCCAGGGTCCTGGGAGGAGCTGGGAGGGCGCCTGGTGCTCAGGAAGCAGCATGTTGTAGGAGTTGAAGGTACAGACTTTAAAGCCAGACCCTGGCTTCCAATCCCAACGTTCTCTCTTTCTGGCTGTGCAGCCCCGGACAAGACACTTGACCCTTTGTACCTCCACTTTACTTCTCCAGCCGGGCTGCCGAAGGCCACCTCACAGGGGAGGGAGAGAAGGTGCTGCTTGCAGGGCAAGAATGCTTGGGGTAGAGCAGCATGTGGTCCCTGGAAGAGTGTGCTGGGAGGCAGCACTGATCCGGGTGGGAGGTCAGCCCCAACTGGGTTTTGTTCCTCACCCAAAGCTCCCCTTTGGTGGGACAGAGTGCGGAGCCACCGGGGGCAAAGGCTGGATGTGAGATACTCGAAACACAGCCCGGACTCTCGCTTGCTGTCAGAGACTAGTTTATTTGACACGAGCACCTACTATATTCTGAGCACCTGCAATTATCTTACCGATTTCCAAAGCCATTCTTATTGGCTGCATTTGACAGACGAGAAAAACGAGGCCCTGAGAGGTGAGGTGCCCTGCCCCTGTGTTCCACCCTCAGAAGTGCTGGAGCAGGGATTGACCGAGGCAGGCGCAGGCCATGCCGCCCCTCAGCCTCACTAGATGGCCTCAGGTTATGTCTCGCGTCCTGGATAGGTCAGGTCAACATCCCCATCCTGTTGCCGAGGGCACCAGATGGCTGGTAGCTAGGGAAGCTGAGGCTCCAAGCGGGGAGAATGAGGCTGTCTTCAGCCGTAGGGATCAGAGGGTGTCACGGGCAAAGCTGGATCTCTTTGCCCTTTGATCCAGCCCCACTCAGCAGCCGCTCCGCTAAAGGGCCCAGCGCCTCTCACCCCAGCCCTCTGAGGGGCATGAGGGGCATTTTATTTTATTTTTTTTTAAATATGTTTTATTGATTTTTTACAGAGAGAAAGGGAGAGAGATAGAGAGCTAGAAACATGGATGAGAGAGAAACATCCACCAGCTGCCTCTTGCACACCCCCAACGGGGATGTGCCCGCAACCAATGTATATGCCCTTGACCGGAACCGAACCTGGGACCTTTCAGTCTGCAGACTGACGCTCTACCACTGAGCCAAACCGGTTACGGCATGAGGGGCATTTTAAATGGCCATCTAGGCTGTACCTTTTCCAGGGAGGTGTTGTGAGAATCTAATGATCCAGGGAAGGATCTTTGCTCAAGAAATGGGGACTGGGAATTCTGCAAGCTTAGCCATGTACCAGCATCGCACCAGAAGACTGCTCCGGAGGTGGCCCTGGCATCAGGAGGGTCCTGCCTTGCCTTGATTCACCTGGGAGCCCCATTAGATCTTCCTCTAACACAAGCCAGGGGTGCCCCAAGGAACCTCCCCACGCTTCTTCCCTTGCCTAGTAGGATGGGCAGAGCTGGGAACAGAGTGCCCTGGGTGGGGTGGGCTTCCTTCCGGGGGCTGGGTACGTGGCTCAGGAAGGGCACAGTTGGGGCTAAATATAACCTGGACTGGAGGCTGTCCTGGGCAGGGATGAGGGAGCAGAGCACTCTCGTGCCCCCACCCCTGCTGAGCTTCCTGTGCCAGCCTCTGGGCATGACCCTCGATGCCCTGCCTGCAGCAGGGAGCTTGTGGTCCAGGAGATCCTTTCCTCCATCCCCACTACTTCCTACAAGGACCAGCTGCTCCCACCCCCCGCCCAGGATGCTATAGTGCATCAGGGACTCACAGTTAGCTTCTTAGACCCGGCTCAAGTCCCGGCTCTGTCACTGGGATACCCTCTCAGCCCTATTTACTCATCAGTAAAATGGGGTACCATGAGGCTGTGTCTATAAAGTGCCTGCCCAGCTCTGTTGGCACCATGGAGGTCCCTCTAAAAGTGCCTGTTTCTGGCACCTTCACAACCCTCTCTTCCTGCCCCAGCTGTTTTGCTCCTTGGCCCTCTACAGTGCTCAGGGCCACCAATGACAGTTAAGGTGCAGGGTTGGGGTCAAGGGCCCACACATGCAGGCTGTGTGACCCCAGACAGGTCACTTCCCCTCTCTGAGCCTGTTTCCAATCCTAAAACAGCCACCATATCCAGGGTGATTATAAGGTCTATGGGTGCCAACACAGGGCCCAGTTTGGAGGAAATGCCCAGATGGAAGCTAATCCTGCTTGGAGGGACTCGGGGCTCAGAGGAGAGGCCAGGAGAGGACATGGAGACCCAGACCCCTGACAGAGCCAGAGAGGAGCTCTCTGACTTGGGGGGGGGGGCAGCCAATGGAGTGGTCATAGCTGGAACATTGAAGGGGTCCCTGCATCTTCCCTCCTGGCCGCTGGTGGTGGGCTATGAAGGGCCATTGTGTGGCTGGGTGGGTGGGCAGGGGTGGAATGTCCTGGGCACAGAAGATGGGCCATTGTTTGAGGGAATGTGCCGCGTGAGGCCTGACCTTTCCCTTGGGAGTGGGGGTTGGCGTGTTGGCATGCTCGGTGGGGGCTGGGGAGACAAGACCCGAGCTGGGGGGAGACCAGGGGAACATACTATCCAATCCCCTTCCCCCAGAAGGGCTTAAGGCAGGCCACAGACTGACCCAGCTCTGTGTGATCGGGAGCAAGGCTCTCGGGCTGAGGTGGGAAGTAGAGGTCTTAGCACAGGACCGGCAGAGTGAGCACACAGTGCCATTAATTATTATCAGAATCCGGGCCTGGAGCTTTCAGACAAGTTCAAGTCTGACCAGGGCAGGTGGCTTCCCTTCTCCCAGCCTCGGGTGTCTTCTCTGTAGTGGGCTCATAGTGCACTGAACTCCTTTGGGAGTTCTGAGGGCCACATGCAGTAATCACTGTGGAACATTTGACACGAGATCAGGACCACAGGAAGTTCTTAGTAATAACAGCAAGTGCTTATGCAGTGACTTCCAGGTGCCTGACACTTTATGGTTAGCAACTCATTGGAGGTACTCTCAGTGTTGCCATTTTACCGATGAGAAGACTGCGGCACCGGGAGGTGTGGGGATTTGCCCCGGGGGCGATGGGATGGCAACAATCACTTTATAGTGCATCTGGCCCCCTTGGCCCATTGAGGGTTTGGCCTCAGGAGTTCTGCTGTCAGAAAGGCCTAGGAGCCAGTTCTGGCTTTACTGTTTGCTGGCCAATGGCATTGTCTTGGGTAAGGGCTCCTGCGGCTCAGTTTCCCCACCTGTGCTCTGGAGATAGAGCACTGACAGAGGGGAGGAAGGGCCAGGCCCTCGGGAAGCGGTCCGTGGCGTTGGCTGACAGTAATGCTTATGTTTTTCTTCTTAGAGCCCAGGACCCAGGAAACCCCACGTGACCCTGAGGTGAGCACTCGCTGACCCTCATGCCTCCCCCCAAGGCCCCCCCCCCGTTTCATGCCTTTGTCTCTCCTTGGCAGGCAGCCAGATCCCAGAGAGAGGGTGCGAGTCCCACAGACGACAGTGCGGCACGTCAGGCGGGGCTCCTGCTAGGAGGGGGCGCCTGTGCCCAGGCGGCGGTGAGAGGACAGTGGGGGGCCCTTCTCCCCTTGACCTCCCCCTCTACGCCCGGCCTCTTCTCCTCACCCTCCCCTGGCCTCCAACCTCCACCTCTGCCCCCCGCAGGCTCAGAGGCAGCTGCTCCATGCAGAACTGAAGCGGGTCCTGCAGAGGAAGGAAGAGAGGACGCAGGAGCCTGGGGCCCAGGTGACTCCGAGCAGCGCCATGGAGGTCAGGAGCCGGAGTGCTGAGGTGAGCGCCCTCGTCCTCCACGGGGCACCTGTGGGCCTGGTGAAGGGCACAGACTAGGCCGGCAAGGAAACGGCAAGGAGACTTCTCAGTCTCCCTATCTGTGAAATGGAAATAGCAACAGGGCCGATTTTATGGGTCACTGAGGAAAAAATTAACATCTGTAAAGTGCTTAGCACAGTGCCTGGCACAGACTAAGATTCAAATCAGCCAACTCATTGGAGCAGGATGGAATTATATCAATCATAAGCTAAAGAAGATGCAGCAGAAACCCTTCATCAAAAGTAGCAGGATGGTGCAAGGGTTAAGGACACAGGGTTTGGACACATGAGTTTATTTTTATTTTTTTCTGATCTCTTTTTTCACATTTTATTGACTTTTTACAGAGAGGAAGGGAGAGGGATAGAGAGCTAGAAACATTGATGAGAGAAACATTGATCAGCTGCCTCCTGCACACCCTCCCACTGGGGATGCGCCCGCAACTAAGGTACATGCCCTTGACCGGAATTGAACCTGGGACCCTTCAGTCCACAAGCTGATGCTCTATCCACTGAACCAAACCGGTTTCAGCGATGAGTTTATTTATTTATTTTTAATGAATATATATTTTTATTGATTTCAGAGAGAAAGGGAGAGGGAGAGACAGAAACATCAATGATGAGAGAATCATTGATCCGCTGCCTCCTGCACACCCCCGCCTGGGGCACATGCCCCTGACCAGAACTGAACCCAGGACCCCTCAGTCCACAGGCCTACACTCTATCCACTGAGCCAAACTGGACAGGGCTGGGCCCATGAGTTTAAATTCCTACCCTACCACTTCAATTGTGCAGCCTGAGCAGGTGACCTGGTCCCCCTAACCCTGTGTTCACATTTGTGAAACGGGGCGTGGTCCCCCCACTCGGAGGGTGCTGACGACTCACATAGCCGTTGCACAAGGGAGCCTCCTTTCCTCTCAGCTGCTGTCACTGTTAAGTAGATAAAGCACTGGCACTGACTGCAGCCTACCAGGTCCAGGCACAGAGAGGGTCCCCTTTTACAGGAGCCAAGCTGGCTGAGGGCGGCAGGCTGGGGGGTGCTGCCACAGAACAGTCTATGGCTCTGAGGGCATAGTCCTGAGGCTGAGGCCCAGTGGCTTAACCTGCAAGTCACTTCACCTCTCTGAGCCGCTGTGCCCCCTCTGTGACTGCCCAAGCTGTGGGGAGGATGAAATGAGATCCCACACAGGAAATGCTCAGACCAGGGCCTAAGAGTGGTAATGATGGTTATCCTGCTCCCTGCTACCTTCACCACCACTCCTCTTACCCCTTCTCTGCCCAACCTCTAGTCTCAGGGCCACTGCTGGGGGCACCTGGTCCAGACCTGCTTTCCCCTCTCTAGCCCTGGGCTCACCTCCAGTCTTCACCAACCTGGGCGCCTTGCCCAACAAAGAGCATCCGTTTGGATGCCTGTTGCTTCAGTTCTCAGCTCACAACAGACTCCTTCTCGTACACCTGTCTTACCCAATTTTCCAGGAGGGACACGGCCCAGAGAGGGCCAAGTTCTCTCCCAGAGACAGACAGCAGATTGGGTTTCCAGATAGTCATGGACGGAAGGTCTCTCACTGCCTGTTCTGGGGAAGTCCAGATGTGAATCCCACAGTGCACAGCTGGGCCGGGGCCAGGCCAGCACCACTGACAGTAAATACCAAGAATACCATGTCTGCCTGTCCACCACTCGTTACCCACGCACCCCCTTTCACTGGATTCCTTCTCCCATGGGCGTTCTGCAGGTCTTGGGGTCAGAGAGACCACAATAGGGCACAGTCTCACGCACGTGCATGTTTCCTAGGAGGTCAGCCCCACCCCCACCCCACTTGAGGGTCCAGCCCATTATTTGGGAGCCCATCCTCACGCCCAACCCTGTTCGGCTGTGATTGAAGCCCCTCCCCATTGCTCCTGAGACTGTGGGTCCCCACCCCCACCACACACACCGTGGCCACACCCCCCTGTACTTGGCCCCTCCACTCTGGTGACTCTACCCGCAGGGGGTCTAACGGAGCCCACCCCCCAGACCGGCCACGCCCTCCCTCCACCAGGCCCTCCAGGTTTTCTCTGGCCTCCCCCACACTGCCCCCCGCCCGGCCCGGACGGACTCCAGGGGAGCAGCGAGCCTTTCCGCGAGCCCCACTGGACGAGCGACCCCTCGGGTTTCCTCAAAGGGGAGATGCCAGCGTGGGTGGGCCCGTCCGACCAGCCTGGTCCTCGCAGGGGGACGTGTGCCCCGAGGAACGGTTTAAGAGACGCTTCTAAGCGCGAGGGCGGGCTGCGGGCGAGGTCTGGGCCCCACGGCGACCCCTCTGCCCCCCGCAGGAGCTGAGGCGGGCGGAGCTGGTGGAGATCATCGTGGAGACCGAGGCGCAGACGGGAGTCAGCGGCTTCGACGTGGCGGGCGGCGGGAAGGAAGGAATCTACATCCGCGAGCTGCGCGAGGACTCGCCGGCCGCGCGGAGCCTGAGCCTGCAGGAAGGTGGGCGGGGCCTCTTCGCGGGGGCGGGGCTAGGAATCCGCCCTGGGCCCGAGCGTGACGCGGTGCCAAGGGGCGGGGCTAAGGTCGCGGGCGGGTCTTTGTGTTTTGGCTTTGCAGCTGCTCATAGTGGGCTGTGGAGATTCCTGGTCTCAGAGCTGCTGTTTATTAGGTTTTTGATCTTGTGCCTCGGTTTTCTCATCTCTAAATTGGGAATAATTCTAGTTCTTACCTCATAGGGTTATTAGGGAGATGAAGTGAGTCAGCATTTGAAAACGTTTAGCACATAGCTAAGTGGCACACAGCAAGCACGATGTAAGTGCTGGTTATTGTTTTTGTTGTTTGGGCTGGAGAAAGAGGTGGAGTCAACAACGAGGAGGGTGGAGAGGGTAGCTGAGTAAGGGCTGTCTTAGGTAATGTGGATGAGACCGATGTGGTTTAAGTCATGCAGCAATTATTATTTAAGGGCCTTTTATTTCCATATACTATTTTAGGTGCTTGGGTTACTGGAGGGAACAAAACAGGGCGCTTTCATTCTAGCGGAGAGAGACATATTTAAACAAAACAAAACAAAACAAAAAAGTAAAGTATATAGTAAGTTAGAGGCAATATGTGCCACAAATGCCAGGGAAGAAGCTGCATTTTTACATAGGGTGAGCCAGGAAGGCAAGAAAGACCTGCAGAGGCAAGGCAGGAGGCAAGGCGGCAGGCTGTGCGGCCGTCTGGAGGAGCATTCCTGTGCAAGCACCCCCACGTGGGGAAGTGCCTGGCTTGTTGGAGGGAGAAAAAGGAAGCCCATGTGGACAAAACAGTCCGTGAAGAAGGAATTAAGAGATGAGGCCAGAGAAGAGAGAGGGAGTGATATTTTTAGAGGACTTTATGGGCCATGGTGAGACTCTTGATTTTGATCTGGGAGGGTTGTGAGTGGAAAATTGACTGTGTTGAACTAATATATTAGCAGGAGACTATAGGGGAGCGGGGTGAGAGGTAGGGAGGCCAACAAAAGGCTATTGTGATCATCCAGGAAAGAGATGGTGATGCTTGGGGCCAAGGGATAGTATTGGAGGCGAGGAGAAGGGTTTGGATGCTGGGTTTATTTTGGAGCAGGAGCCTTCACGACTGGATATGGGGAGTGATGGAAAGAGAAGGGTCAAGGAAGACGGTAGTCTTACAAATGGGGAATCCTGGGGCTGGAGCTTGGGAGGAAGACCAGACCAGGCTGGATTTGTTAAAGGAGAAATGCCTCTTGAGCATCAAGGGGGAGATATGGAAGGGCAGTTGCATATGTAAGTCTAGGATAGAGGGAAGAGTGCTGGGCCGGAGACATACACTTGGGAGTTGTCAGCATATTTATGACCTTAAAACTCCTAAATCTGGATGAGCTTCCCAAAGGGGTGAGTAGAGCATGTGGATTAAGGGTCTAAGGTCTGAACTCGGTGTTAGTGTGTCTTTAAGAGGTCAGGAGGATGGGGAGGAACCATCCTAGGAAGCTGGAACTTGACCATTGAACTTGGCTACTCAGAGTCACTGCCTGGGACCTTGAGAGGAACAGTTCAGGGTTGTGGGATGAGGTATCACAAGTGTGACTGGAGAAGTGGCAAAGATGCAGATAGACAGCCCAGTGCATTTTGCCATTAAGATAGAGAGATAAATGGGCGAGAATTCCAGGTGGAGTGATGTTCATGTGTAAGAAACACGGGCATGCTGATAGGAATAATGTAGAAGAGAGGGACAAACAATGATGTGGGGGAGGAGGGAGAACTGCTGGAGGAATTGACTTGAGCCCGGAGTGGGATGGTTCATTCCTAGGAACAGGTGGAGAGTGGAGTAAATCACCACAGGAGCGGGGGGCGGGGTGAGTAATGGGGTGAAAGGTTCTGGAAGTTGTTTTCTGAGTCTGAACAGCTTCTCCCCTCAGTTGCTCATTCCCTTTCTTTGTCCTGCCCCCTCTGCCAGCTCTGAGGGAAAGGAGAGGCGGCAGGTGGAGCGGAGGGAGCAGGGGAGAAAGCTTCATGGCACAGGTTGGGGAGAGAGCGATGTCAGCGGTGCTGAGGGGCAGGTGGAGAGGACAGTGGGGGTAGGACTTGGGCAGACGCTAGCAGGACGAATTTGAAAGGCCATGTGTAAGGTGACTGAAGAGAGGGAACCTGAGCCTCTAGGGAGAAGAGCCATGTCAGGAGGAGTGTTATGAGTAGGGGTGAGGTGCTGACTTCACTGACATCCAGATCCAAAACTCCTGGTCTTGGCTCCCCAGAACTTTGTCTCTTGACTGTCCCTTTCCCCACCTCCACCCATGGAAACTTCATTCTTTTTAAAAATATATTTTTAAAATTAATTTCAGAGAGGAAGGGAGAGATAGAAACATCAATGATGAGAGAGAATCATCAATTTGCTGCCCCTGCACACCCCCTACCTGGGGATTGAGCCTGAAACCCAGCCATGTGTCCTGGATTCAAACCTCCTGGTTCATAGGTCAACAGTTAACCACTGAGCCCACTGCCTGGGCATGGAAACCTCATTCTTTCCCCTCTCCTCCTCCTGCTTGATGTATTTCCTCTCCGGACAGTTGTGCCCTCTAAATGCTCAGGCCCTGGGCCCTGAACTCTGTAGACAGATGTCCCCCAAATAAGGGCACAGAAAAGAGGCGGGGGACCTCTTGATTTATCTGTGGACTCCAGTGCCCAGCCCTCTCCCCAGAACACTGCCCTGAAAATCCCATCTCTTCACTCTTCATAGCTCTACACATTTAAAAATATATATATTTTATTGATTTTTTACAGAGAGGAAGACAGAGGGATAGAGAGTTAGAAACATCGATGAGAGAGAATCATCGATCAGCTGCCTCCTGCACACCCCCCACTGGGGATGTGCCTGCAACCAAGGTACATGCCCTTGACTGGAATTGAACCTGGGACCTTTCAGTCCGCAGGCCGATGGTCTATCCACTGAGCCAAACCGGTTTCGGCCATTTCCCCCCTAAATATATTTTTACTAGGGGCCTGGTGCACCAAAATTGTGCACTGGGGGGGGGGGGGTGTCTCAGCCTGGCCAGCACCCTCTTGGGGGATGTCCACCTGCCGGCTTAGGCCCTCTTGCAATCCAGGACCTCTCGTTCTGCCTGCCGTGCTCCTTAGTGCTTCCATGAGCCTGGCTCCTGGCTGAGTGACACTCCCCTGAGGGAGCACCCTGATCATCAGGAGGCAGCACCTGCATTGAGTGTCTACCCTCTGGTTGTCAGTGTGAGTCATAACAATCAGGCATTCTGCCATTTGGTTCATTTGCATATTAGGGTTTTATTATAAAGGACTAGGGACACAGTGCATTAATTCATGCACCTTGAAAGGAGCTGTGGACTGCAACAGGGGCAGGTCTTGGCCCATTCTCCCCCTCCTCCTCCCTGGCCTGGCCCCTCCCGCCATGGCCCCCAGCCCTGTGTGCTAGCAGCCCTGCTCTCACCTGCTGACAGCACAGAGCTATTGGGGCCCGCACCAGTAGTAGGTGAAAGTGGGGCCAGTGCTAACAAAGGGTTTGAGGAGTTGGGGCAGGAGGAGTTGGAGAAGCCCTGAGGGGCAATCAGGGCTGGCAGCTGCGCTCACACCTGCTGACAACACTGAACTATCAGGGCCGGCGCCAGGTGTTAGCAGTGGGTGTGAGCGGGGCCAGTGCTGGAAACAAGTGCAAGCACCAGGCAGGACCTCAGTGTGGGGGAGCAAAGAATTTTCAGTAACCAACAGAGGCTCGCCCTGATGACAGTGACCAGAGTTCTGCCTTGGTCTGGCGACTCCACTCACCTGCTCCACCATCCCACCATGGCCAACGCCTGCCATGTTCTGCACTCTGCCGCCTGTTGTCGATGCCTGCCATTTTCTGCATGTGCCCCCTGGTGGTCAGTGCAGATCATAGCCACTGGTTGTTTGGTTGTTCCACTGTTCAGCCTATTTGCATATTAGGGTTTTATAGATTTCTTTCGGAGAGAAAGGGAGAGGGAGAGAGAAGTAGAAAATCAATGATGGGAGAAAATCACTGATAGGCTGCTACCTGCACACCCCATACTGGGGATCAGCCTGGAACCCGGGCATGTGCTCTGACTGGGAATGGAACTGTGACCTCCCGGTTCATAGGTCGACACTCAACCACGGAGGCACACCTGCCTGGCTCTGCACTCATTTTTAGACATGGCAAAAGATGAAGAGACTATTGTAACTATAAAGTTTAACTGTTTAAAAAGGGTCTGAAACGTAAGGATAGGCAAGGGGAATGGAAAGGCCACAGGCAGGCCTGATGGGTGTGGATTTGCTCAGTGGGAGGCAGAGCTAAGGCTGTGGCGTGGGGCTTCCTTCTTAGGTGTCCTCACTCATCCTCGTCCCCCCACCACCCCAAACAGGGAGGAGCTGCTTTGCTGCTCAGTCTTGCGCCTGGGATAGGTGGGAGCCAAAATTGTGGGCGGGGCCTCTCCGTTTGCTGGTTGTGAGGGGGGGGTGGGAGGAGCCAGGCGCGGGTGGAACTGCGGGATGCCCACGTCCCGCTCGCCTCTCGCAGGGGACCAGCTGCTGAGCGCCCGCGTGTTCTTTGAGAACTTCAAGTACGAGGACGCACTCCGCCTGCTGCAATGCGCCGAGCCGTACAAGGTCTCCTTCTGCTTGAAGCGCACCGTGCCCACCGGGGACCTGGCGCTGCGGCCCGGGACCGTGTCTGGCTACGAGATCAAGGGTCCGCGGGCCAAGGTGGCCAAGCTGGTACGCGTGCTTAGCCCGGCCCCGGCGCTGGACTGTCCTGGCGATCTCGTCTCCGCGCCATGAACCCTGCTCCCACACACCTCGGGCCAGCCTTGCCTTCTGTCTTGTCACTAACCCAATGCTAACCCCACCCTTTGCCTCCTGTTCTCCTCCCTGGGAGGGGGACCGGCTCAGACCAGGGCCCTCACCGGCTTCGGAGAGGCATCCTCACTTTCAGCTCCTGAACCAGGGGATTCCAGCAGGATTCCAGGGTTCAGCCTGACTGCTCCCCACTTACTGCTGAGTGAGCCGGGACAAGCTTCCTTTCTTTCGTAGCCAGTGTCCCCATAGACATGAGTGTCCTCTAGAATGAGGGTATTTGGAAAATCCTGAATGAGGGACCTGGAAGACTCGGGTCCCAGTTTCTACATTCCTGTTGACTCACTGTAAGACGCTAAATGAATGTCTTCTCCTCCAGGGGCAGGACGGGGAAATGACAGGCAGGAAGTGGGGATGGTGTCTTGGGGACAAAACATTTAATCCGTCTCATCCCTAGCCTGGTACAATGCCAGCTGGGCGCCCGGGCCACCTCAGGCCTCCCTGTCCCACCGCCTCCCGCCTCTCTCCTCTCTCCCCAGAACATCCAGAGTCTGTCCCCCGTGAAGAAGAAGAAGATGGTGGTGCCCGGGGCCCTAGGGGTCCCTGCAGATCTGGCCCCCGTTGACGTCGAATTCTCCTTCCCCAAGTTCTCCCGCCTGCGTCGGGGCCTCAAAGCCGAGGCTGTCAAGGGCCCCGTCCCGCCTGCTCCAGCCCGCCGGCGCCTCCAGCTGCCGCAGCTGCGGGTCCGGGAAGTGGCCGAAGAGGCCCAGGTCGCTCGGCTGGCTGCCGCCGCTCCTCCCCCCAGAAAAGCCAAAGCAGAGGCCGAGGCGGCCGGGGCCCGCTTCACGGCGCCCCAGCTGGAGCTGGTGGGGCCCGGGCTGCCAGGCACAGAGGTGGGCGTCCCCCCGAAGGGCCTGGGGAAGGAGGCCCCCGCGGGAGAAGCAGCCACTGGCTTTAGCCTGCACCTGCCCACCTTGGGGCTTGGAGCCCCGGCTGCACCCGCTGTGGAGCCTGTGGCCGTAGGGATTCAGGTTCCCCAGGTGGAGCTGCCCACCTTGCCCTCGCTGCCCAGTCTGCCCTCGCTGCCTTGTCTGGAGACCCGGGAAGGGGCCGCGGCAGCGCTGACGGTGCCCACCCTGGACGTAGCGGTACCCACTGTGGGGGTGGACTTGGCTTTGCCGGGTGCGGAGGTGGAGTCCCAAGAAGAGGTGCCGGAGGTGGCCCTGAAGATGCCCCGCCTCAGTTTCCCCCGCTTTGGGGCCCGAGCAAAGGAAGCAGCTGAAGTCAAGGTGGCCAAAGGCAGCCCTGAGGTCAAGGTGAAGGGGCCCAGACTTCGAATGCCCACCTTCGGGCTTTCTCTCCTGGAGGCCCGGCCCACCGCCCCTGAGGCCGCTGTTGAGAGCAAGCTGAAGCTGCCTACCATCAAGATGCCCTCCTTTGGCATTGGGGTCTCGCCACCTGAGGTCAAGGGGCCGGCTGTGAAGCTCCCCAAGGCCCCTGAGGTCAAGCTCCCGAAAGTGCCGGAGGCAGCCCTCCCAGAAGTGCAGCTCCCAGAGGTGGCACTTCCCAAAGTCTCAGAGATGAAGGTGCCCGAGATGGCGGTGCCCGAGATGCGTCTCCCAGAGGTGGCACTACCCAAAGTCTCAGAGATGAAGGTGCCCGAGATGGCGGTGCCCGAGATGCGTCTCCCAGGGGTGGCACTTCCCAAAGTCTCAGAGATGAAGGTGCCCGAGATGGCCGTGCCCGAGGTTCGACTCCCAGAGGTGGCACTTCCCAAAGTCTCGGAGATGAAGCTGCCGAAGGTGCCCGAGATGGCCGTGCCCGAGATGCGTCTCCCAGGGGTGGCACTTCCCAAAGTCTCCGAGATGAAGCTGCCGAAGGTGCCCGAGATGGCCGTGCCCGAGATGCGTCTCCCAGGGGTGGCACTTCCCAAAGTCTCAGAGATGAAGCTGCCCGAGATGGCCGTGCCCGAGGTTCGACTCCCAGAGGTGGCACTTCCCAAAGTCTCGGAGATGAAGCTGCCGAAGGTGCCCGAGATGGCCGTGCCCGAGGTTCGACTCCCAGGGGTGGCACTACCCAAAGTCTCCGAGCTGAAGGTGCCCGAGATGGCGGTGCCCGAGATGCGACTCCCAGAGGTGGCACTTCCCAAAGTCTCGGAGATGAAGGTGCCCGAGATGGCCGTGCCCGAGGTTCGACTCCCAGGGGTGGCACTTCCCAAAGTCTCCGAGCTGAAGGTGCCCGAGATGGCCGTGCCCGAGATGCGACTCCCAGAGGTGCAGCTGCCGAAGAAGGCCCCCGAGGTGAAGCTGCCCAAGGCTCCAGAGGTGCAGCTCAAAGCTGCCAGGGCAGAGAAGGTGGAGGGGGTGGAATTCAGCTTCAAGATGCCTAAGATGACCTTGCCCAGGTTAGGGAGGGCAGGGTCCCCGTCACGAAGCAAGGCAGGCGAGGCAGGGGCTGAAGTCTCAGGGAAGCTGGTGACACTTCCCCGCCTACAGCCAGAGGTGGACAGCGAGGCTCGTGGGGGTGTCCCCTCCCTCACGCTGCCCTCAGTGGAGCTGCACCTGCCAAGAGCACTCAGCCTGGAGGGACAGGTCCCAGTGGCTGAAGTGGGCAAGGTGGAGCGAGCAGAAGGCAAGGCAGCACAGGCAGAGGGCAAGGTGGAATGGGCAGAAGGCAAGGCGGCAGCAGGGGTTGGGGAAGTGGCCTTCCGGATGCCCTCTGTGGAGATTGTCACTCCACAGCTGCCCACCGTGGAAGTCGAGGAAGAGAGGGCAGAGGTGGAGGTGACGGAGATGAAAGTCAAACCCACCTCCAGGTTCTCGCTGGCCAAGTTTGGACTCTCCGGGCCAAAGGCGGCCAAGGCAGAGGCTGAGGGGGCTGGACAAGCCACCAAGCCAAAGGCATCCAAGTTCGCCATCTCACTCCCCAAGGCTCGGGTGGGAACTGAGGTTGAAGCTAAAGGGGTCGGGGACGCAGGCCTGCTGCCCGCTCTCGATCTGTCCATCCCGCAGCTCAGCCTGGATGCCCATCTGCCCACAGGCAAGGTGGAGGTGGCAGGGGCCGATTACAAGCTCAAGGGCCCCAGGTTTACCCTGCCCAAGTTTGGGGTCAGAGTTCGGGACACCGAGGCTGGAGAACTCATGCCAGGGGTGTCTGAGCTGGAGGGCAAGGGCTGGAGTTGGGATGGGAGGATGAAGATGCCCAAACTGAAGATGCCCTCCTTTGGGCTGGCTCGGGGGAAGGAGGCAGAAATCCAGGGTGGGCGTGTGAGCCCAGGAGAAAAGGCAGAGTTGATGGCCGGACAGCTTAAGATCCCTGAGGTAGAGCTGGTGACTTTGGGGGCCCAGGAGGAAGTGAGGGCGGAGGGGATGGTGGCCGCCCGTGGGGCAAGGCTGTCAGGCCTGCAAGTGTCCACAACCAGCCAGGCAGGCGCCGAGGGCCAGGAGGGGGTGCTACGGGTGCCCGTGGGCATCTCCCTGCCTCAGGTGGAGCTGACGGGATTCAGTGAGGCCGGCCTGGGTGCAGCCGCCGCGCAGCAGGCTGAGGGCCCCGCAGGCTACAGGGTGCAGGTGCCTCAGGTGACCCTGTCTCTGCCGGAAGCCAAGGGGGAGGGTGGCGAGCTGCTGGTGGGAGAGGGCGTCTTCAGGATGCCCACGGTGACGGTGCCCCAGCTGGAACTGGATGTGGGGCTGGGCCGAGAGGGGCAGGTGGGCGAGGCGGCCACAGATGAGGGTGGGCTGAGGCTGAAGATGCCCACACTGGGGGCCAGAGCTGGGGCTGGGGTCGGAGGACCTGGAGACCAGCCCCCAGGGGTCGACCGGTCCTTCCACCTTTCACTGCCCAGCCTGGAGCTCTCGCCCCCTGCCATCAGCAGCCACGCCGAGTACCAGGTGGTAGAGGGTGAGGGAGACGCCGGACACAAGCTCAAGGTTCGGCTGCCCCGGTTTGGCCTGGTGCGGGCCAAGGAGGGGGGTGAGGAGGGCGAGAAGGCCAAGAGCCCGAAGCTCAGGCTGCCCCGGGTGGGCTTCGGCCAGAGCGAGGCTGTTTCCGGGGAAGGCTCCCCCAGCCCGGAGGAGGGGGAGGAGGAGGAGGGGGACGAGGAGGGCAGCAGGGACGGGGCTTCTGGTCGCCGTGGCCGCCTACGGGTTCGCCTGCCTCGTGTGGGCCTGGCCACTTCTTCCAAGGCCTCTCGGGGGCAGGAGGGCGAGGCAGCCTCCAAGTCTCCTGGCGGGGAGAAGTCCCCCAAGTTCCGGTTCCCCAGGGTCTCCCTCAGCCCCAAGGCCCGGAGCGCGAGCAGGGACCGCGAAGAGGGTGGATTCCGGGTCCGACTGCCCAGCGTGGGGTTTTCGGAGACTGGGGCTCCAGGCCCCGCCAGGATGGAGGGGACTCAGACTGCTGTCATCTGAAGCCCCCTCCTGCCTGCCCACCCCGCCCCTTTGTGTGTGAGTTAACCAGCACTAACCCCCAGAGGGCAGGAGTGCGAGGTCTCCTGCCCGGCTCATTGGCAAGAGTGTCTGTATCCTGCCAAGTCATGTGAATAAATAATCCAGAGGTGGCCTAGTGTCTGGTCTTCTCTGTGTACTGGGAGGGTGTGGGGAGTGAGGGAGGGTGCAGAGAAAAGAATCCCAGAGAAGGAAGGAGCGGCGGCCATGATCCTGGCCTGAAGGAGCCTGTGTGGGGAGACACGGGCCGCCTCTGGTCTGAGGAGAGTCAGGGAGGCCTTGGGAGGGGCCTAGTGGAAGGGAGCCTGTCCTAGCCCTTCAGAAACCCCAGGGGCCATGAGCAGGACTCTGGGAAGTTCCCCGCTGCAGGACCCCTCTGCTGGGGACTCCGCCTGCCCTGGGGAACCCCACACAGGCCGGGACAGCCCAAGGGGCTGAGAGCAGCCTGATTGCTACCCACCTGCCCTCTGCTGGCCACTTCACCAACAAGCGCGCCTCTGCATCCTGGCTGTTCCTTTTCCGTCTGGCTGGTTTGACAGCCTGGTCCACCCGGCCCCACCCAGGAAGCCTCTCCGGGCCCTCTCCAAGCTCCTGGGTTCAGAGCCTCCACTTACAGTTGCCTCGTAGGACTAGGTCCTCGGTGCTCAAGCTCGGCTCCCAGGGACCCCCACCTCACTCCGGATTTATGCACCTAAACTCTTGCCAGGGCCTACAGACACCCTCCCCCCCACCCCCCCCATCTCTCTGCCATGCCCCAGACTACTAGGAAGACATGCTTTCCCATTCCAAATCCCCCCCTGATGCCCCATACCCACCCCTCCACACTATTCCCATCCAAGAGGATGAAGGGCCGTGCCCTTGATTGTCACAGACCCCCCACTTACTCCACTCCTCCCTCCAAGCCTGCCCCATCGGGCCACTACCCTGTCTCGTGCTTTCTCTTTGTCTCCGCCAAACGTGCAGGAGTTACCTGCCCTCGTGGCACCCCCGCCCCTGGACCAGCTCAGCTCCGTAGCCGTGGGGTTTCCTCCCTCAGTGGCTACCCGGTCCAGTGTCCGAAATGACTTCCCGGTGATCCCACTGAGGGCTTCCTCTGTCTCTTTTGCCCTGGCTTCTCAGGCCCCTTCCTCCGTTCTGAACACTCCCCTCTCTTTCCTGGAGCCCTTTGGGCTCCTCCCAGGCCCTCATCCCTCCCACACCCATCCTAGGCCTGTCACCCTCCCAGAGGCTTCTGCTCCTCACCTCTGGGTGACAGTTCCCAAATCCTCTTCTGGGTGCTCGAGGGCACTAGGAGGATGTGTGAGGTGAAGGTTCAGAGCTTGGCTCTAGAGCCACACTTCTCAAGGTCAAAGCCTGTCTCTGGCACCCAACTTTTTTCTTCAATTAAATGGAGCTATTAAAATGTATAGTGTTGGGAGGGAGGGGCAATGTTAAAATATGTACACAGATAATAATTTAATTAAAAAATGTAAAAATAAGATAAAATGTATGGTGTGCCTAGCCAGCGTGGCTCGGTGGTTGAGCACTGCCCCATGAACCAGGAGGTCATGGTTCAAGTTCTGGTCAGGGTACATGCCTGGGTTTAGGACTCGATCCCCAGTGGGGGTTGTGCAGGCAGCAGCCAATGAATGAATCTCATCATTCATGTTTCTGTCTCTCTCCCTCCCGTCCTCTCTGAAATAAATCAAAACAAACAAACAAATAAAATGTGTGTTGTAAGGGTAAGGCTTCTAAAGCACTCAATATTAAATTTCCTAACCTGACCTTAGCATCTTCTCCTCCGAAGTGCTCTGTCCATGCCCCCATTTCTGGGACACCGCCCTCCTCCCCAATGTGTCAGTGCCTTGGCCTGGCCTCCTGCACGTCTCATCCACAAGCCTCTTCCCTGTCTCCCCAACCTCTTCCACCTGGGCTCCTCCAGGCTCAGGGCCTCTGCTCTTGCTCCCTCTAATTCAGCTTTCTTCACACAAGTAGCTTTCTGATGCTTAAAAGCCCTCTGTAACTCCTCCGTGCCCTCAGGACAATGTCCAAACTTCTTAGCTTGGCACTCAACCTGCATCCGCTTCGGCCACACCTTCCCCCATGCCAGCCCAGGCTGGGCAGGTACTTTCTGAAAACACACATACACTTCCCTTTCGTTAGGAAAACCTGCCTTTTCTCACCTTGGTCTGGGAGTGCTCCTGCTTCTGCCTGAGGTCCACCATCAGACTCCCCTCTCAAAGGATCCTCTACCTGTCCAACCTCTTCAAGGTTCCGCCACTGGGTGGGGGAGGGGGCTTGGCCTGCCACCCCACCCCCCATTCCACCGAGGGGTTCAGGTCTCCAACAACAGAACTGGAGCCACTCAGCAACGCTGGAACGCATTTAGGGGGGCCTGGGGCCCCTCGTCCCAAGCCAAGAGGGCTTTGGGGGAGGGGTGTAACTCTTGGCATATTCCCTGTGTGGCCTAGGGGGTTGTAAGGTGCCCAGGAGGTGAGGGCAAACTTCATAGGGGTAGACACGAGTGAGGTTCTCTTTCCCCCGCTGGGGGTACGTCGGGGACAGAGGCAAAGGGGGGAGCCGGGAGGCCTCGAAGACAGAGGTGGGGCAGAGGTGGTGGCAGGGTGGTGTCCGGCAGCCGGGGCACCATGACCACCATCCAGTCGGAGACTGACTGTTACGACATCATCGAGGTGCTGGGCAAGGGCACCTTCGGGGAGGTGGCCAAGGGCTGGCGGCGCAGCACGGGCGAGATGGTGGCCATCAAGATCCTCAAGAACGACGCCTACCGCAGCCGCATCATCAAGAACGAGCTGAAGCTGCTGCGCTGCATGCGGGGCCTGGACCCCGAGGAGGCCCACGTCATCCGCTTCCTCGAGTTCTTCCACGACGCCCTCAAGTTCTACCTGGTGTTTGAGCTGCTGGAGCAAAACCTTTTTGAATTTCAGAAGGAGAACAACTTTGCGCCTCTTCCCGCCCGCCACATCCGCACGGTCACCCTGCAGGTTCTCAGAGCCCTGGCCCGGCTCAAGGAACTGGCCATCATCCATGCCGATCTCAAGCCTGAGAACATCATGCTGGTGGACCAGACGCGCTGCCCCTTTAGGGTCAAGGTAAGTGGCTGCCCTGGGTGGCAGCATCTCCTGTTCTGTCTCCTCCCGGCCTTCCCCAGCTCTGGACGCTCTGGTTGTGAGGAGCAGGAAGACAGTGAGGGGTGACTGCACCAGGCCAGGTGGAAGGCGTGGCTGGGCGGGACTAGACTTGTGGGGGGTAGTGGGAGGAGGGGCACGGGTGGGTCCGAATAGATTTTGGAACTGGTGACAATGGGGTTTGCTGGTGGATCTCATATGAAGTGGAAGAGAGGACATGAGGGGCCACCAAAGCCTGTTGGCCTGAGCAACTGGAAGGATGGCAGTGCCATACCTCGTCACAGTGAGTCTGCTTGTCAACAAACACTCTCTGAATGCCTGCTCTGGGCCTGACCCTGTGCTGGGTGCAAGGGTCTGGGCTCCCCATCCCACCCCTGACCTTCTGGGTTTGTTATTGTCCCCTAATGATAGGAGCTAGGAGCGCCATGAGAGCAGAGCCCAGCAATTTTGGTCACCACTGTACCCGTGGCCCCTCCCAGCACAGCACTGCTGTGGCATCAATGCTGGATGGATGGCAGGCCTTTGTGGATGTTAGCAGTGCTTGGGAATGAGGAGGGTGTGGGCTGCCGGGAGGTGTCTTTCCAGTGGGTGATTTAGAGACACATGGCGAGAGACGCTGAGGGAGGAGAGACAGACAAGCCATGAAGTGGCAAAGAAAGAACAAAAGATACAAAGGAGACAGAAAGACAATGAGAGATTTTTTAAAAATTCAGTCACTCATTCATTCATTCATTCACTCATTCACTCATTCATTCATTCTGAGCTCCTGCTCTGTGCCAGTCGCTATTCAAGGCATCTAGGGACTCAGCAGTGAACAGACAAAATCCTGCCTTCATGGGACTCAAATCCTAGTTGGTTAAAAAAGCAATGAACTCAATAAAAATATAAAATATATGGTTTGTGAAATAGTGGTAAGAGCCGTGGAGAAAAGCAGAGGGCCAGGAAGGGGGCGAGGAGGGGCAGGGGGGCTGGCTTTTGATAGGATGGTTGGGGGGAGGCCTCACTGAGAAGGTGACTGGAGTAGAGACCTAGGAAGGGAGGGGCGCTGTGTGGACATCCAAGGGAAGAGCATTCCAGGCAGAAGACACAGCCGGGGCCCAGGCTTCGCTGGGAATATATCCATCCGGCTCATTCAGGAAGAGTGAGAGCTCCTGTGGACCCGGGAGCAGGGTGAGTGAGGGGAAGTGGGAGGAGCTGAGGGCAGAGAGGAGATGGGCAGATCGCAGGAGCCCCGGGCCTGTGGTGAGAACTCTGGCTCTTATCACAGGATGTAGTAAAGCCACAGAGGATGCTGAGCGGGGAGGTACGTGACCTGACGCCGTGTTCACAGGATCTCTCAGAGCACATGGGAGGAACAGCCTGGGGGGCAGAGGGCGGGAGCAGGGAGAGCTGTCGAGGCAGGAAGTGATGGAGGCAGGATCAGGTGGGGCTGTGGCTTCGATGCTCAGAGGGTGGAACCAACAAAATTTGCTGATGGACAAGGTGTGGGGTGAGAGAGCAGGAGAGGGGCTTTAATGCCACAGACATACGTTCTAGCGGAGAGAACAGAAACACACCCACACAAAGCAGAGACAGAGGCTGGAGGAGACAGGAGTAAGACTAAGATGGCAGACGCAGACACATACTGTGGAGAGATGCCCACCGAGGCCCGGATGGGTGGTCCCACCCCATGCCTTGCCCACCGGGCTCCCTTCCCACACAGGTGATCGACTTCGGCTCGGCCAGCATTTTCAGCGAGGTGCGCTACGTGAAGGAGCCGTACATCCAGTCGCGCTTCTATCGGGCCCCCGAGATCCTGCTGGGGCTGCCCTTTTGTGAGAAAGTGGACGTGTGGTCGCTGGGTTGTGTCATGGCCGAGCTGCACCTGGGCTGGCCGCTCTACCCTGGCAACAACGAGTACGACCAGGTGCGCTACATCTGTGAGACTCAGGGCCTGCCCAAGCCCCACCTGCTGCACGCCGCCCGCAAGGCCCACCACTTCTTCAAGCGCAACCTCCACCCTGATGCTGCCAACCCCTGGCAGCTCAAGTCTTCGGCTGACTACCTGGCTGAGACCAAGGTAGGGGGCAGGCGCAATGAGGGCAGCAGTGTGGGGGGCTGCTGCATAAAGAAGAAAACCTGGCCCAGCCGGCACGGCTCAGTGGTTGAGCATCGACCTATGAACCAGGAAGTCACGGTTTGATTCCCGGTCGGGGCTGTCAGGGCACATACCCAGGTTTTGAGCTCGGTCCCCAGTAGGGCTGATGCAGGAGGCAGCCGATCAATGATTCTCTTTCATCATTGATGTTCCAATCTCTCTCTTCTTCTCCCTTCCTCTCTGAAATCAGTAAAAATGTATTTTTTAAAAAAAGAGTTAACACATCTAAAGCACTTAGAAAAAGTGCCTGTATTTAGTAAGCGTCTGAATCTGAGCTCTGTGCTCTGTCTTCCAAGGTGTGTGACTTGGGACAAGTGTCTTTGACCTCTCTGTGCCCCGGTTTCCTCGTCTAGGTTAGCCCTCAGGGAGGTCTGGAAGCTTGGGTCAGCTGTGGGGATTGTCATAAGAGAGATCTGGGTGAGAACAACGGTGGGACTGGAAGTTTGAGGGCCACTCTGGGGGCTGCTGCAGCAAGAGGGATCTGGATTATGCCAGGAGTGAGACAGAAAGGGCAGCTCAGATCTGGGTCAGGCAAACCCATGCAGTGTGCGGGATCTACATGAGGCCCAGGTGGGACTGGGCTTATAAGGCAGCCTGCCTGCCACCACTGTGGCCGCTGTCAGCGCACCGGTGCGGAGTCTGGGTGAGACTGCAGAGGAGTGGAAGTCCGGGTCAGCTGCAGGACCAGCTACAAGAGGGGTCTGGGTGCGGCCAAAGACGAGACTGAGAGGATGTGGCAGCTCCTCTGAGGGCTCCTTGCCTGGCGGTTGTCAAGCTAGTGTGGCAAAGAGGTTCAACCACTGGGAGGCCTGGAGGCCTGGGACGGAGTGTGGGAGCCTGGGTTTGATTCCAGGAGGACTGGAGGCTCAGGGCAGTTCCTCTGCTAGCTGCTCGCTGGAAGAGGCTGGCCCACAGCTCAGGGGAGGACTGGCGGTCTGGGACGAGGGGTGAGACTTGAGTGAGGGTAACTGGGTGAGATGACAATAGGCAGGTGTGCTTCCAGCAGGAGCGGGGCTCTGGGTTCGACTAGAGGGACCAGGTTTGGCCCTTCCAGCAGCAGGAGGGCTTCCAGTCAGATCACAGGCAGGACTGGAATCAGATCTGTGGACTTCATAGCAGCAGGAGAGCTCTGGGCCAGACTGCAGGGCCTGCTGGGGGTTACAGGAGTGACTGGGGCCCGAGGCTAACCCCTGCCCGCTGTGTCCCACCAGGTACGCCCGCTGGAGCGCCGCAAGTACATGCTCAAGTCGCTGGACCAGATTGAGACGGTGAACGGCGGCGGGGCGGCCGGGCGGCTAACCTTCCAGGACCGGGAGGCGCTGGCCGAGCACGCCGACCTCAAGAGCATGGTGGAGCTGATCAAGCGCATGCTGACCTGGGAGTCGCACGAGCGCATCAGCCCCAACGCGGCCCTGCGCCACCCCTTCGTGTCCATGCAGCAGCTGCGCAGCGCCCACGAGGCCACGCGCTACTACCAGCTGTCGCTGCGCAGCTGCCGCCTCTCGCTGCAGGTGGAGGGCAAGCCCCCCGCGCCCGTGGTGGCCGCCTCGGAGGACGGGCCCCCCCCCTACTACCGCCTGGCCGAGGAGGAGGAGGCCGTGGGTCTGGGCGGCGTGGCGGGCAGCGGGCCCTTCTTCCGCGAGGAGAAGGCCCCGGGCGTGCAGAGGGCCATCGACCAGCTGGACGACCTGAGCCTGCAGGAGGCGGGCCACGGGCTGTGGGGCGAGGTCCCACTCAAGGCGGCCGTGGCCGGCCTGCGGGTGCCGGACGCGGGCCCCGAGCCCATCCTGGCCTTCTACGGCAGCCGTCTGGTCGGCCGCCACAAGGCCCGCAAGCCGCCCACGGGCTCCAAGTCCGACTCCAACTTCAGCAACCTCATCCGGCTGAGCCAGGCCTCGCCCGAGGACGAGGGGCCCTGCCGGGGCAGCGGCTGGGCCGAGGGCGAGCACCGCGGAGCCTCCGCCAAGCCGCCCACCATCCCCAAGCGGGACGGGGACGGGCCCGACATCAAGGACATGGATGCTGAGGTGAGCCAGGGGGCCGGAGGGTGCAGGGGGATCTGGGGCCAGGGGTGCCCACAGAGCTTCGGGGGGGCGCGGGGAACCTGGCCTTGGCTCCCTGTGTTAGCAACAGCCGGTTCAGAGCCCAACACACACTGGCCCAACCTCAACATATGACAAGGCTCCGCACATGCTAACCCAAAACTCGGGATAAAATTAGGATGACGCGGCTCTGCCCATACTGACGTGCCGCCAGGCTGTGTGAAAACGCAGGGCACAGTAACCCACCTGGAGGAAGTGAGAAGGCCCAGCACACTCACCCACCCCCAGGAAGAGGTGACAAAGCCCCAGCAGACCTCACACACCCCAGCACACACTGGCCTCAGCACACACTAGCGAAGCCCAGGATGTGACGAGGGTTGCAACGGTATAGAATGGTCTTCAGGAAGTGACAAGGGTTCGGGTGGGACAGGGGGGTGTCCACGAGGGGCAGGCTGGTGGCTTCTTGGCTGATGCCCTCTCTTCTACCCCACAGAGGCCGAGCCCCGAGCTCTTCGACCCCAGCACCTGTCCTGGAGAATGGCTCAGCGAGCCAGACTGGACCCTGGAGGGCATCAGGGGCCCACGGGCACAGGGGCTCCCAACCCGTCATACCCACCCGCATGGCCCACCCCGGGCCGCCAGCTTTCTGCAGCATGTCGGCGGGCAGCATTGATGGTGACCGCACCGCTACCCATCACTGGTGGCTGAGCTAGCTGGGCTGGCCTCCCTTCCTCAGAGCCATCCCCTGAACCCACAAATTCTTACAGAAAGCTATCCAGAAACTCCCATCCCTCCCCCCCACAGTACATGCCTGCACACACCCCCAAACACAGGAGGGCTTGGTGTCTGGCCTGTGGCCACCTCAGTCAGAGGGGCACAGAATGGTGCTGCACTCTGCTGGCCCTGAGCACGTCTTGGCCCTGTGTCTCTGCCTATTTCAATAAAGAGCTGTTCACAGCCCTGCCTCACGCCTGTCCCCCTGCCTGTCCCGGCGCTGGGGGGGAGGGGGGTGTTCAGGCTGGTGCTCAGGCCTGCTCTCTGATGCTGCACCCAGTTGGCCATTGGCTCGGGTTGGAGGCGGGGCTACCGTGACACTGGGACAGGCTGTGCTTGGCACACTGACCCATTCCTTAAATATGGCGAAGTGCTTGGCTCACAAGCACATGAGAACCATCCTCAGTACATGGTGTTCAGCAGGGGCCGATCCAAGCTTGCCAGATATCTGTGGGTTAGCATGTGCGGAGCCTTGTCATATGTTGAGGTTGGGCCAGTGTGTGTTGGGCTCTGAACTGGCTGTTGCTAATGCATGCTGTTGCTAACGCAGGGAGCCAAGGCCAGGTTCCCACCCGCCCCCCTGCCCCCCGAAGCTCTGTAATTACATTACAGGCTGGCCATGCACTTGGCTGGGCAAATTCATACTTGGTGCATGCTCCCGTGTTCAGGCATTCGAGTCCACCCTTGGGATATGACGATGGTTCATCTGTGAGCACGCTAACCCATGTTGGTTACAGGATGCTCAGCATACACCAACCACGTCGTCGTACAAGCATACTCAGCACATGCCAGTTACACATGCCAGCCTATGTGGTTACATGCTGAGAGCTCAGCACATGCTAAACCAGTGGGCCACATGCTGTATGCTCAGCAATGGCAGGCCACCTGCTGAAGACTCAGCACATGCCAGTCACATGCTATGTGCTAGGTACATTTCAGCACATGCTAAGAGCTCGTGTACATGCTCATGTTCCCACCAGAGGCCCATGCTGGCTGTCCCCGATCCCAACACCCACCTCACACCACTCAGTCAGGCAGAGACTGTACAGACAAGTTATTTACTTCTTAGAACCTGGGCCTGCTTTGCCCTGGGGAAGGGGGAGGCCGGGAGACTGGCCCAGGATGCAACCCCACTTCTGGGGCTGCTCCCTCCCCAGTTCAGCTGGGATCTGGGGCCACAGCATCAGGCCACTGGGGGCGAAGGTAGAGGTGGGAGAGCAAGGGGGCCCGTGGAGCCACAACGGGACAGACAGAAGCAGGGCTGTGGGGACAGGGCCATGACCTAGGACATCTGGGTCTGTGAGGGCCGTGAAGGCCTGGGCCTGTCTGCTGGGACGGTTTCAGAGCAGGCGACAGGCGTTGCTCATGCTGTCAGCTGAGGTGTTGAGGTCGTGGCTGTAAGAGGAGTCCCAGTCCCTCAGAAAAACAGCCTCCAGCTGGCTCCGCAGGCCATTCTCCCCGCTCACCAGCAGTGAGGTGCCCGCCGTCTGGGTGAAGTAACTGCCAGACCAGTTGGAGGTTCCTACAGGGCAGGGGCGGAGTCAGGGCCTGTGGCGGTGGTGCTGGGACCCTCTCCCACCCCCTGCGGTGCTCGGACACTCACCGATGTAGGCGGTACTTTCGGTCACCATGTACTTGTTGTGGTTGACTCGGGCATATGGGATGTGGGCCTGGGCCTTGTCCGCAGGGACCACAAAGAGTTTCTGGGGGAGAGGGGAGGATGGAAGCAGTGGGGTGTGTGGCCAGGGGTCCTCAAACTTTTTAAAGTGGGGGCCAGATCATGGTCCCTCAGAGAGCTGGAGGGCTGGACTATATGAACTACTAATTCCTACTATAACACCTTGGCTGCGCTCACTGCCCAAAAAACCTGGCGGGCCGGATCAGACTCCTCTGCGGGTCGCATGTGGCCCGCGGGCCGTAGTTTGAAGACCCCTGGAGAGGTTCCCCGGAGCAGGGGGTGGGGAGGGGGCAGGTCTGTAGGACTGGGGACTCCGTGAAGCCCACAGGCCAGAACAGGCTGGAGGGGTGGCTTTCGGGCAACGCCGGCTGGGAGGGCCCAACTGCTTCCCCTGCCCCCATGCCTCCAGCATGACTCCTAGGGGGCTCCTTAGAACGGTCCCTTAGGTCTCACCTCAGATGTCCCCCTGTCCAGCCAGCCTTCCGTGACCCCTCAGGCTGGGCAGCTGTTTCCTCTGGACACTCCCATCCCACCCTCACCCTCTACCCGCCCCCCGTTCTCCCCCAAAAACCTGGGCTTCACGCACAGTCTCCCCATCACCGCAGGTTCACCTGGGCCGTTCGGTGAGCTCCACAAGCACCCTGTGCCCAGTGCCGCCCACACGGGGCTGCGGCGAGGGCTGGGCCGTGCTTACCACCTGGATGTCGAAGTGGGTGTGGTTCTTGCGCAGGGCGGCCAGGGAGAGCAGGAAGGCCAGCATGGACGGGTCCGAGTGGCCCCAGCAGCTGACCAGCAGGCGCACCTTGACGCCCCGCTCGTAGGCAGCTCGCCGCAGCCCGTCATCGATGGCCGGCCAGAACCTGGGGGAGGGACGCAGGGTGCAGAGGGCGGCTCATCCACCAGCCTCACTCAGCTTCATGGAGCGAGGCTGGTGGATGAACCGCCCCTGAGCCCTAAGACCACTCGTCTCTGACTCCCGGGCCTGCCTCCTAAAATACCACATCCTTTACACCCCGATTCTGGCTCCCCTTCCTGCCCCCCAAACCCAGGCTTTCCATCATCATGTCTGCTGCTCCTACTACTTTCTCTGAGCTCCCCAACCCTGCCGCCCCACACCCGAAAACTCTTAGCCCCATTCCCCAGCCCTCATCTGTCCCAGCCATGCTCCCTGCTTCCTTCCTCCAGAAATCCTATACCCCCTGCCTTTGGCCTCCAGGCCCCATCTCATCCCGCTCCCCCCAATATTCTCATCCTTTTCTCTGGCCCCTCTGCCCTTGTCTGGAGCACCCGGCCCCTCTCCCCGTTACCTCTGTCTCCTCTGCCTCTCCCATCGCCTCACCTCCCTCTGTCCCCTTGCCTCGGCGCCACTGCCTGCTTTCTGGGCCCTTCACTCCCTCTCCCACTCCCTGGCTCCCTGCCCACCCACCAGCAGTACCTGCGTGGGTGGGAGAACTCCATGGTGGGCAGGTAGTTCATGACTGCGATGTAGATGAAGCTCCGAGCATTGTCCACCACGTCGAGCAAAGCATTCAGGTCTGAGGTGCGGCCACTCGGACACAGCGGTGGGGGCGCACTCTGGGGGCGAGGGGACAGGTAAGACGTGTCATGTCAGGGGTGCCATCACAGCCAGCTTGTCACCAGCCAGGCCCTGCGGTCTCGCTGACTCCGCAGCCGCCGTGAAGGGGAAGGAAGATTGTGACATTTCACAGGTGAGGAAACTGAGACTTGGCTGAGTCACACAGCTGATAAGGATTTGAACCAGCTGCCTGGTTCCAGAATTTATGCTCTAACCCAGTGGTTCAAGACAAAAGGTCCCCGATCCACACTAACAGCATCAACTGGTGGGAACTTGTTAGAACTGCAAATTTATGGGCCTCACTACACATGGCATCCTGAATGAGGGTGCTGAGGGGGAGCCCAGGAATCTGGTGAAATAGCACTCCCAGTGGTGTTCTCTCTCTCTCTCTCCTCTCTCTCTCTCTCTCTCTCTCTCTCAATTGATTCAGAGAGGAAGGGAGAGGGAGAGAGAGACAAACATTAATGATGCGAGAGAATCATTGATCAGCTGCCTCCTGCACGCCCCCTACTGGGGATTGAGCCCAACCCAGGCATGTGCCCTTGATCTGAACTGAACCTGGGACCCTTCAGTTCGCAGGCTGATGCTCTATCCACGGAACCAAACCGCTAGGGCACTCCCCGTGGTTCTGATGCACGCTCAGGTGTGAGGATCTCTGATCTAACCGCTTTCATCCCTGACTCACTCACAGGCCCCATGCCACACCAGGCCCGTTACCCAGCTCTCTCCAGCCTCAGGACAGGTGAGCAAACTCAGGTTCTGAGAGGGGGAACCCTCAATCCCCTGTGGGAGACCACTGGAGTATAGGACCCCAGCATCCATACACCTTGTAGAGCCCCCCGACAATGACTGGGCTTGGCTAAGTGACTTGTTTGGGGGGACCAAAGGGGACGAGGTTGGCCAGCCCAACTAGTAAAAATATCAATAGCTAAAAAGAGCAGTGCCTTGCCCTGGACAGTGTAGCTCACTTGGTTGGAGATCATCTCATGCACTGAAGGGTCCCAGGTTGATTCTGCTCAAGGCACATACCTTGGTTGCAGGCTCAATCTCTAGTGTGCAGGAGGCAACCAATCAGTGTCTCTCTCACATCGATGTTTCTCTGTCTCTCCCTCTCCCTTCCACTCTCTCTAAATAAAAATAAAAATAAAAAATCAATGGAAAAATATCCTTGTATGAGAATTACCAAAACAAAACAAACCCCACAATAGCAGGCCTTGTCTAGAGCGCTCAGGATCCACCACAGCGACAGCGGGCGCTGTCCAGCAGAACGTTCGGCAGCGCTGGAAATGTCTCTGTACCTGCACTTCCTGCAGGTAGCCGCTGGCTGCATGTGGTCGCTGAGCAGTTGGACTGTGGCTAGTGTGACTGAGGAACGGAATTTTCAACTGGATTTAGGGCTAATGGAGAGGTAGAGCCGGCCCATGCAAGCCCTAAGAGGTTGTTAACATTGTCTAGATTAGGGGTGTCGAACTCAATCAGAGAAGGGGCCAAAATCTAAAATCCAGCCTAAATCGCGGGCCGAATGGTTTACTGAACAGTCATAAACTGTCATTGTGATGGAAACGCCGCGGAGTGCAGTGATGACAGCGTGGTGCGGGCCACATTGCAAGGCCTGGAGGGACGGATTTGGCCCGCGGGCCTTGTGTTTGACACATGTGGTCTAGATGAAACTGAGGCCTCGTGAGGTTGGGAATAGCCCAGGCCCCTGACCAAGTAGAGCGAGCAGGAGTGAGGGCCAGTGGTCCGGACCCCCGCCCCACCATCCCTGGGCAGGGCTGGATGGACCCCCGCCCCACCATCCCTGGGCAGGGCTGGATGGACCCCCGCCCCACCATCCCTGGGCAGGGCTGGATGGAGATTGTGTGAGCGCACGTGGCCAGGGTGTGACAGGCCTCTCTTCCTTCAGACTCACCGCCAGGTAGGCCTGAGCACGGGTGCCGTTGAGGCAGATATCCATCGGTGTCTTTTGATTGTAGAGGGTGTCATAGGACGGGGGCCAGGTTGGCGGGATGGTGCTGCCCGCCTGGCCCAGGTACCAGTAGGCCTCGAAGATCTTGGTCAGGTCTTTGGCCAGACTGCTGCAGTTGTACATGACCACGCCCAGCTCCTTGACCTGTGGGAGGGGAGTGCTGGGTCAGGGGCAGTGGTTTCATGTCCACAGCAGCCTCTTCCTTCCCATGCCCCTCAAAATCCTCTCTCTCCCTTCTTCTTTTTTTTTTCTCTCTAATATATAGTAGGTCCTCGGGTTCTGTTGGAGATCCGTTGCCATGGCACGACATAACGTGATTTTCACCGTAAGTTGGAACCCACCTACATAAGCACCTGCGTCACTCACATGGAGTACATACCCAGCAGTAATGAAGTGAATCAGTAAAAAAAAACATTTTTTGAAAGAAATATAACGATTTCTGACCCTTACTTGTGGTAAATAAATAATAAAAAACTATAAAGCCCATATGTACAGACGTCAAAATGATGGAATTCTTTTTTAAAAATAAATGAATGGAAGATGGTTGATGTAACCACAAAATGACGTACATTGAGTCTGATGTAACCCGAGGACCGCCTATATATTTTTTAATTG